TGATTCTGAATCCGAAGAGGAAAAGGTTCGTGAGAGAGAAGATATAAGACAAGAACGGCGAAAGGAACGAGAAAGAGAATATAGATTATCTAGAATGGGTGCAGAACAAAGAGCTAAATATCTCGCACGGTTGGTTATTTATTTAGTTATAATAGTGTATTATATAAACTATCTAAAAACTCTAACGGTTTATTTCAAATTTTAGTGAGCAAAACAGAGATATTTCCGAAAAGATCGCTTTGGGTCTTGCAAAACCTACACTTAGTAAAGATAGTCTTTATGATTCTCGATTGTTCAATCAATCAGAAGGTCTCTCATCAGGATTTAAGGATGATGAAGGTAAATATTATTTATTTTTTTTGACATTTTCACATCGATTAGGTAATGGTAACTGAATTTTTTACACTTTTTTTTTTATTAGTTTATGATTTATATGATAAACCTCTATTTGCTAGCTCAAGTGTCTCAAGTATATATAACCCTAAAAAGAGTTATGATACTGATCAATATGGTGGTGGAGATGAAGAGAGTGTTAACAGAATGCTAAGCGTTGATAGATTTGGGATTGCTTCAAAAGGTTTTCAAGGGGCGGATAAAAGTCAGGTTCGTAATAACTGCATTTTCATTTTATAATGTGACAATATCATACAGATTTTAACAATCATCTTTCTTATATAAATTAGCCAAGAGATGGGCCTGTGGAATTTGAAAAAGAAGAAGCAGATCCATTTGGGTTTAATCAATTCTTGGATGATGCTAAAAAGGGTAGTAAACGCGGGTTGGATACAATGTAAGTTTTTGATCTTCAATCATTTATTATTTATTGAAAAAGGATTGCTAAAATAATTTTTTTTTTGATAATAGATCTGAAAGCAGCAAGAAAAAAAAATTGGCGTGATTTGTACCTTATCCATACAGAAAATAAATAATCTTTTTGTTCTCAAAAAAAATGGTTTATTATACTGTATAAATTTGGGTTAAGTCCGTACTTTCATTATAAATCGAATAATTTACAAATTATGAGGATCTTAAGCACCTCCCTCAATCTGATCTTACTGATCAATCAGATTCTTTAACGAATTCATTGAGAAAGATTCTTGTAGGTTTCGACCAACCTTTTTTTTTTTGAATTGACATTCTACATAGTTTGGTGTGGGAATCGGGATTTCAACTTCGGGATAATAATCAAAAACCCAAAAATACGATCCATTTTTAGTTGATAGTACCAAACTCAAAAACCAATCAAATTTGTTAAATCAAGGCTATAAATCTCAAGCTTTTATTTTCATTTTTAGATAAAAAGAATTAAATGATTTAACGATTAGACAGGATGAATAAAAACGATATGTTAGGTTTAATAGTTACATCGAATATTCGAATATGTACAGTACGTAACAAGTGAAAAACATTGAGTAAAAATGCTTAATAGCCTTTAAAGTAAAATCCTTAATAAAAATCGATATGTTGTTCTTTGTGTTTAAATACTCTTTTTTATGTCACTTAATTCATCAACTTAATGACACTTAAGTCAATGATGGCATGTTTGAATTCGAACTTGCCAAACTGAGGCATATAATTTGATAAATAAGAAATTCTAAAGTTGCAGGTAATCTTTTTAAAAAATGTCAAAACAATTGCATAACGTAAAATGTGAAATCATAATGTCCTTTTGTTTTACTTTAGTTCGTACAGACCAGGGCCACGTAAAAATTTGGATATTATTTATATGATTTACAATTTTCACGTGGCCCTGGTACAGACTATGATAATCTTCCCCAATACAGCAGTATCGCCACCAAAATGTTACAGTCACGTGAGAATCGAAAAATTCTTTAAAGTTCTTTTAGATTCGAGATCCTTAGTCTTATTGGTTTCACTGATTTAATTCCAGCAAGGGTTGGATTCTTAGTCATATGATAGGACTTGATATCATCCAGCAAGGGTCAATCTATAGGGCTGGATCCTTAGTCTTATGATCTTGATTTTGTTTGTTCGATTTAATGATAACTAGTTTACTCAAAAAATGTTTAAATACAATTTTTTATTTTAAAATTTTCTTCGAATCTGTGGATTTTATTATACATGTCCCGCGTCATTTTTTGAATTTTTATAAATTATCAAGCACTTCCGCATATCGATATTAAAACAAAATCGAATTTTAACACTGGTTATGGCCGGTCAATAGTCACATGCTCAAGTTTGATGATTTAGTATATCGGTATATTTAAATTGGAATTTGTATCAAAAAATTTCTCAGCCTTTCTCATAATTTGAGTTCTTTTATTTTTTACTGAAATAGTTGAAATATGATTGGTTAAAGTTCATGTGATTTATGCGATATCGTGATAATCTTGGTCAGTGATGTTTATTTTGATGTTTTCGCGTTTCTAGCGTTTCTATCTTGTTTACACCAATTAATTTTCTTAGCTTACGATTTTTTTTAACTTTTTCAAAAAACCTTTTTTATATTATTATTACACCAACGAAGGCAACGAAGGTTAGTATTATGTTTGTGAACATTTCGGGAACGGAAGGTTGCTTTCTGCATGTATGCCTATTGGGGTCGACTGATTCTGGATGAGGAATTGGTATGCACTTTCCTTAATAGAGCAACCTTGGCTTATTACAAGAGATCCAAGATCGTCTGTACTGGCTTCTAAAAAGTGACGAG